TTAAAAAATTAAATTTTCATCTACCAATAGAAAATTAACAAAATTTATATTTTTAAGATTTACGTTAACATAAAAATTAACAAAACAAGATAATTAGCAAAATAAAACTTAGCAACATAAACTAAAATAACAACTAATTATCAAAATAACAACAAACTAAAACTTAGCAAAATAAATCTAATAGTTATCAAAATAAAATAACAACTAACAAATTAAAACTACTACATATCAATTAACAAAACAAGATAATTAGCAATATTCAAATAATTAATAAACTAATAAACAACAAAATTTAATTAAAATATATAACATTTATCTAACTTAAAAAAAAATATTTTGAGAGAGAAAGTTTTACTCGGCAAATGAAGTTTATATAGAACATATACGATACAAATTAACAAAACAAAATAATTAGCAACATTCAAATAATTAATAAACTAATAAACAACAAAATTTAATTAAAATATATAACATTCATCTAACTTAAAAAAAAAATATATATGAGAGAGAAAGTTTTACTCAGAAAATGAAGTTTATATAGCACGGATCCGATCCGATTTTGAGGACGAAAGATAACCCTTACTTTGTTAAATGCAGTGGAAAAACATTTATTTGCGTGAGTCGGCATGAGTGGCCATTTTTTTGGACGGCGACTGGAAAAGGAGGTGTAGTGGAAGAGAGGTGTAGTGGAGGTGAGAGAAACAAATGAAGAAGGGAAATGAGAGGGTATATATGAGGAAAATAGCGACGGACTCAAATCCATCACTATTCCATCGCTAAAAGGGAGAAATTTCGCCCCAAAATAGCGACGGACAACAAGTCGTGGGAGTTTTCCCTTCGCATTGGGAGGAATTTTCCCCTTTTCGACGAATGGTCGATCGGTATTTGGAGGAGAAATTTCCCCTCTTGTAGTGACGGACCGGTCCATTTGTCACTAGATAGCGAAGGATCGGCCGGTCCGTCACTATTTGCGGGGAAAATTTCCCCCTAAATAGCGACGAACCCCGTCATTCGTTATTTAGCGTCGGACCGGCACTGTCTGTCGCTATATAGTGACGAAATTAATTCGGTCGCTAATTTTATATTTAGCGATCGAATATCCGTCACTAATCCGTTGTTGAGTTTGTTTTACGACGATTTGTTTACGTCGCTAACATTCCATCACAAAACCGTTATAAAAAAATATTTTTCCTTAATCCGTCACTAATCCGTCGTGAATTAGCGATGGATTAGTTTCCATCACTAAATTGTGTCACTAATTCATTTTTTCTAGTAGTGGTATATATTATTGATCCCTTTAATGTCTCCGAACCAATATTAATTATATTTTTGACATTGATATTAACATTCATATTTGATTATTTTATTCTTATTGTTTACATTTTTTTCTTCAATTATTTGTTTCTTATTAAATTTCTCATTAAATTAATTTTTTTTAATTTTTTGATTTAATTTTTTTAATAAATTTGGTTTTTTAGTATATAAATTTTGAAATAAAATTTTAGAATGTCAATGTTTTATTTTTTAAAAATATATTATTATAATTTATACAATAAATTATTTTTATAATTTTAAATGAGTGTTATACACACACACACGACAAGCTAAAAGTAAGTTTGAGATGGTTTGACTCAATTTTTTTTTTAAATAATAATGAGTTTAAAAAATTCGTAAGTTTTATTTGTTTTTTCACATATATTTATTCATAATTTATCATAACCACTTTTGTTAAAGTTTTTATTTTAACCTATTAAATTTAATATATTTTTCTATAATTTAAGTGATTTTTTTCTATTTATTTTATATACTACGAATCGTATATATATATATATATATATATATATCATTAGTTTCGTTAGAAATTAACTATATATAAATTCGATTTATATTAATCATCAAAAATAAAAATTTCTATTTATATTACACTATATAAATCGTTAATCGTATGTATATAATGATTATCTATTCATAACGTAGCATGGATATTCAATTAATATTTATTACACGAAAACACCAAGCCTCCCAATAACCCACTATTTCAAGCTGACCCTACCAACCACTCCGCCCCGTTTAGTCTCCACATAACAGCCTAGATTCTCAACGTACATAAGCTTTCTTCAAAAACTTAGCTGTCACTCAATCACCCATCACAGCCCATACAATCCACGTGACCTAGTTTTTCTAACAGCCTACATTCTCCACATGATCTGCCTCAAAGACCCATCTGTCACTCTACAACACATCACAGCCCACACTACGGACCAGCCCAGATTCTTACCATAACCTTGTCTTCAAAATCCAACCATCCCTGTTCATTTTCCTTATATTCTAATATTTGATAACGGTTCTATCTCTACTTCTGCACTTGCAATAAAGAGTCCCACTTCAATTAGTAATGGCAATGGAGCAACGGTGGGGGCGAGGATGGCCTGATAAACTCTACCCTGTCCGCGCCTCGTGCCTGAGTGGAGCGGGGACGAGGATCCTCGCAGGGCATCAAGGATCCCTGGAAGGCATAGGTGTCTTGCTTAATTTTTTTGCATTCGTCTGGTTTCATTCTACCTCATATTATCTTGTATTAAATTTTAAAATATAACAAAAAAATAATAATACATATAAAAAAATATATAATGAAGAAAAATAATAATTTAACTTTATATTCATCTATAAGTTAAATTATTTAGAGATTCTCAAATCCCACTTATTACAATGAAGATTAGTTTGCAACCTCAAAGTTTCTATATATATAATTTCTCTTTAAAAAAAAAGGACGAGGCAGGGCAGGGCGGGGCGGGACAAGGCGAGAATGCAAGGCAGACAAATACCATCCCTATCTCATTTTTGTTCAAAATTACTATAGGGCGGGCCACTCCATCCTATTCCCTAGTTAACTTAGGGAATCCTTGGGTTGACCGAGCTGAGGAAAAGCTAGACCTTGTTGGGACGGATAAATTACCATCCCTAACTTCAATACCAACAATAGCTGCCCCTGTCATATCTTTACAGGTAGACATCACTAGTTACCCGAACTCTCACTTTATTAAACCATGACAACCACCACCACCACCTTTATATGGAATGTTGGTACGCACCAAAACAGGACTTACAAGACCCCAAACCTTCCTCACCACTCTACTAATAGAAGAACCAACTTCGTACTCCATGGCCAACAAACACGCTGAATGGCGAAATGTCGTACATGACAAAATTGATGCACTTCTAACCAAAAACACCTACGATCTTGTTCCCTGTCATAGTGCTCCAAACATCCTCGATTGCAAATGGGTCTACTGTATCAAAACATTGCCTAAAGGTTTCATTGATTTCTACAAAGCCTATTTAATGGCTAAAGGTTTCCATCAGGGACCTAGCCACACGTTTAGTCTAGTGGTGAAACTTGGAACTATACATCTTATTATCTCCTTGGCAGTAACACATAATTGGTCCATTGCTCAACTTGATATTTCAAATGCCTTCTTGCATAGGAAATTAGATACACCAATATATATGGATCCAAATCACGGTTTTGCTTTCAAAGGATATCGTCTCACCACTTCTCTGTGTCAATCGGGATTTGTTGGCTTAAAATCTGACACATCTCTCATGATCTATTACCATGGTCTAGCCATTATATAATGTTTAATCTATGTGGATGATCTTCTTATCACTAGCAATGATCAGGACCTTATCAAAAAAATTGATCTCGAAGCTTTTTTCTAGGTAAAGAACTTGGTCCTCTGCTCTATTGTCTTGGCATAGAGGGCACTCAAAGCGAGGGAAGAATGCACCTTTGTCAATCCAAGTATATCAATAATCTCCTCAAACAAGCAAACATGCATGATGCCGCCTTAGTTCCTACTCTAGGCAGCTCGTGTTCCCCACATAATAGCACTATTGCCTTTCATAATCCGACACTGTTTCAGAGTATAATTAGCTGACTTTAATACCTTACAAGACCAGATGTTTCATTTGTAGTTAATCATGTGGCTCAATCTATGCATGCTCTTACACTTCACTACTTGGTGCAGCTAAGCGTATTCTTTGTTATTTAAGAGGTATGCCAAATCATGGTTTAGTTTTTACCCCATTATCATCCCTCTAAATCTCAACCTACATGGATTATGGCTCGTTCGTCTACTGATGTCGAGTATCGAGCCCTAGCAACAACGGCATAAGAAGTCACCTGGCTTCAATGCCTTCTTCGTGAGATACGTTTGCCATTAAAATCTCCACCTACCTTATGGTGTGATAACCTCTCTACCCCTTGCCTCACGTGTAATCCAGTGTTTCATGTTCGTTCCAAAGACTTGGAAATTGGTTTCCATTTTGTTCAAGATAAAGTTAGTAAGCGCAGGTGTGTTACATCTCCATTGAAGACTAATTGGCTGACATCATGACCAAGTTCTTGACCAAGCAGACAAGCTGATTGTGAAGTCTGTGGCTCAGCTTGAGGGAGGAGGATAAGGATAAACTCTACACGGTTAGTCCCTTGTTAATCTCTCCATACACTTAGTCTCTTGTTTGCTAGGATAGCTACTATAAACAAACAGTTTGTCTCTTATTGTTATCCATGACAGCTATAGTGAATATCTTGTAACTAGGACTCCTCTGTTTAAAGAGTCTCCTCTAATACAAGGTTAACATGATAGAGTTGCAAAACTATTTTAATTCTTTTAATAACTCCAGTTTTGAAATTTTATGGATACCTTGGCATAATCATGTAGGCAACTTGATTAGTCAACTAATCACAGAAAAAGACCTTCGAAGTGTAAAAATGGATTTCTCTTCTCGAATATCAATTAGCCAAATCTTTGTCAAAACTTGTGCCTTCTAAGAAACAAGCTCATCCAAAGTCTTTTTCCATCAAACATTGCTGTATTGATTTTCATTGTAGGAAATAAACAACATCTCTACATCTCTATAAATGCCTACATGATTGTGCATGCTGCAAGAATCTTTCCTTTAGATCTCGAGTTTAGTTAAAGCTTTTGTAAAATATTATGGGAGCAGTGAAACTGATTGGAACTTATACAAGCCTGTTCAGCATAAGGGTTGAATGGGCTTTGAAGCTTAAAGAAATGCAATATGAATACTTAGAAGATGATATATTCAATAAAAGTCCCCTCCTTCTTAAGCACAACCCTGTTCACAAGAAGATCCCCGTTCTGGTCCATGATGACAAACCAACTGCCGAGTCATTTGTCATCCTTCAATACATCGACGAGACATGGAAAGATAATCCCTTACTGCCTCAAGATCCTTATGAAAGAGCCACAGCTCTTTTTTGGGCTAAATTTGCTGACGAGAAGGTATATATATATATATAGGAGTTAGATAATCTCTTTCATAGTTTTTTCCTAAATCGATTGCATATGACATGAACTTGGGCTTTTTTTCTTAAAAAAAAAAAAAAAAGAAAAGAGACAGAGAGGAAGAACTCACACTCATATCATTCGGATGTAAGTCAGACAAAATTTAATATGAATATAGCTAGTTCGATGTGATTTTTGAACTGAATGAAAGTCCGTGAAATCGATTGGTGGCACACAAGAAGGGAGGGAGAGATTCTTTTCACAATATTAAACGAGAGCTTGAACCATGGTCGTGTTATGGATTTATTCTTTTATTGCCTTGTTACGTTTCCCAAATTGGCTTCCCTTGTGTACTTAGGGACACTAGACACAGGGGAATGGAAGTAGCATACAATTCTAAGAAATCATACCAGCTGAAAACTTAATTCCAGCATATTTTTTAGCATGACAGTCTTGTATCTTTATCTTGGAAATTTTGCCTGCAAACAAGGTTTGATGTTCTCTCTCTCTCTCTCTCTCTCTCTCTATTATCGCAAGGGCAGTGTTTGGTAGAAGCATATACGGCTGCCTGGACTGAGGGAGATGAAAAGGAGAAGGCCATAAAGTCTGCTCAAGAATCATTTGCATTTCTTGAGAAGCTGATTCAAGGGAAGAAATTTTTCAGTGGAGATGATACGATAGGCTATTTGGATCTAGCAATGGGTTGGATTCCTCTGTGTCTAGATGTTATGGAAGAAATTGGAGGCATGAAACTGGTTGATGCTAAGAAGTTCCCATCTCTTCTTGAATGGGCTCAGAACTTCATTGAAATCCCACTCATCAAAGAACGTCTTCCACCAAGAGATGCTCTCTCCAACTACTTGAATATGATTGCCAGCTACAAGCGTTCCCACAAGTAGTAACCCGGCTGCATGCAATTTGGAGGAACGAGAAGAACTATATATATATATATATATATATATATATATTCTTGTTTTTCTTGTCATTGTTCTCCTTACATTTGGTTGCAAGACATAATATGCGTGCGTGAAGAGAGTACAACATCATATGTTAAATAGTATTTGAATTGAACGGTGCATAGATGTCCAGAAATGAAAAAGTAATTAGAGAAAATTTAGGAAAGGTAACTAATGACGATTTCATCTCAACTCACAAGAAGTTTGCAGCCTTTTGATCTCTTCGCACAATGCAACGTAATATACTGATTTCAGTTTTAAGAGCTTGGAAATGGCATTGGATTTATAGTTTTATCCAAATTTTCTTAAAATGTTCTTTATTTTTGATCATCATCATTGGTCCTCCATTTTTCTTTCCTGAGGGACTTGGCTTGATTTGAGTGGATCAGCACATCATCCATAGACTTTGGATTCTTAGTTTAGATTTAATTGTCAGATTTTTACTTTAGGCTGGAGGCTTTAAGATTAAGTTAGTTTTAGTTGAAACTAGCATACATCTCGCACCTTACTACAAGGTGAGCTATACATATCTTTGTGTGACTACTATAATTTCCTTAAATAGTGATAGAAATTAATGATGAATATAGAAAGCAATTAGTAATAGAATAGCAATTATTAGAATCAACGATAGAATAGAGATGAAATAGCAAAGATTTATTAGCGACCGGCACTAGTCTATTGCTAACTTTGACAAGTAAAATCTTCATGGGAGTTTTAGAGATGATTTAGCGATGAATTTACTAAGAAAAATAGCAATAGAATGGCAAATCCATTGCTATTTTTAATGTCACGATTTAGTGATGGATATTCTCCCATAAAATGACACATATCTTGCAATTTAACGATGAAAAAATCTATTGCTAAAGGTGAGAATTTGGACAAAATTGAATAGACTTTTTAAAAGACAAAACCACCCAATTTGAAACGGATTATTTGGTAGTATCCCTATATGTGAAAATTATGACAAATTATCGACGATACTTACGTCCATCGCTATATGTGAAAAAATGGAAGCCGACTACACAAAATTGATCGACATTTTGAAATGGATTAGTGCTGAACATAAGTGTCCATTGCCAAATAGCGATAAATGAGCAAGAGGATCGCATCTATCGTTATTTTTCAGTCCTAATTTATCTCCCTTCTTCTTCCTCCTTCCCTATTGTCTTCTCCCTCTCCATCTCTAGCTACCGTCGTCGTTCTCCCACCCCCTCCAAATCACCACCAAACTCCACTCCTCTACTTTCAATTAATCCATATCCACTACAAAGTGTTTTCTCCAAAAAAAGAAAAGAAAGAAAACTCTCATTTTTTTCATCCTCCTCTTGATGTCATTCCACTCGAATTAGGTATATTTTTTCTTTCTTTTATTTTCTTAATTAAAGTTAGTAATTTGTTGTAATTATTAATTACTTGATTTATGATTGTGTATATACTTCATTGTTATTTTGTTGATTTAATTGTTAAATTGTTATTTTTGGAAATTGTTAGATTAATTTATTAAATTGTTAAATATTGACAATTGTTGAGTTAATTAGTTAATTAATTAAAATTACAATTTAATCAAAATTTATTTTTAATTAATTAAGTTAATTTTATTTAAATTTAGTTAATTAAATAGGTTAATTATGTTTAATTGTTGAATTAGACTAAATTTGTTAATTAATTGTTTAATTTTTCTTAATTAAGTTAATTTGATTTATATTTAATTAATTAATTTGGTTAATTATGTCTAATTAGTTGAATTATAAGTTTGTTTATATTAGAAATTGTTAATTAATTGTTATTTTGAATTTAATTTGGTTAGAATTAGAATTAATTAAGTTAATTAGATTTATATTTCATTTGTTAATTTTGTTTAATTGTTTGAACTAAAACTTTATTTATATTAGAAATTGCTAATTTATTGTTATTTTAAATTTAATTTGGTTAGAATTAGAATTAATTAAGTTAATTAGATTTATATTTATTTAATTAATTGTTTAATTTTGTTTAATTGGCTGAATTAAAACTTTAGTTATATTAAAACTTAGAAGTTTATTGTTATTTTAAATTTAATTTGGTTAGAGTTAGAATTAATTAAGTTAATTAGATTTATATGTATTTAATTAATTATGTTAAATTTTGTTTAATTGGTTGAATTAAAACTTTATTTATATTAGAAATTCTTAATTAATTTTTATTTTAAATTTAATTTTCATAGAATTAGAATTAATTAAGTTAATTAGATTTATGTTTAATTATTTAATTAGGTTAATTTTATTTAATTGGTTGAATTAAAATTTTTTTATATTAAAATTTGTGTAATTAATTTTTATTTAAAGTTTAATTTGTTTAGAATTAATTAAGTTAATTTGGATTATATTTAATTAAATAATTAGGTTAATTTTGTTTAATTGTTTGAATTAAAACTTTACTTGTATTAGAAATTGTTAATTAATTTTTATTTAAAATTTAATTTTATTAGAATTTGAATTAATTAAGTTAATTTAATTTATAATTAATTATCTTAATTTTTTAATTAAAACTTTATTTATATTAGAAATTATTAATTTATTGTTATTTTAAACTTAATTAGGTTAGAATTAGAATTAATTAGCTTAATTATTTTGTATATAATTATTAAAGTGTGCTAAGATATATCGTAGTGTATCGAACCTAAGGAATTAGAGATCCTTGGGAATTGAGGAGAAATAAAGTTGGTTCAATGCTATGCGATGGAGTTGGAAAGACGAGTTTAAGATAATTACAATGGAGTATCCGAGACAATTATTGGTCTCGATGTGTGCAATTGTCGGTTGGTTAATTTAATTTATTTTTTGTGTGATTGTCCAAATTTTATTAAATTTTAAGGAAAATTATTAATTATATATATATATATATGTTTGTTGTGCATTTTGGACATGTTGAATTTTGTTTATTTTAATTCATAATAATTTATAATATATTTTCTGTCGATTGTTATTCATTTGTTAAACTATTTTAGATGTTATTCATCAGTCATGCCTCATGGATTAGGTAGATCTTGTCACGGTATTATTGGTCCGTGATCGTGGCTTTGATGTTGATCGTGTAATACCCGGTACCAGCTAAAATCGCTATTTAATAAATTTAAAAATATTGAAGGTATATGAAAAATATTTTGTGAGTGTAGAATAATCTAAAAAGGGTGTCGAATATTTAGAATGGTTAAGATAATCCTCCCATGCTTAGTAAATATTTTGCGGATTTTTCATTGTATGGATAATGACTTTTATATGAAATAATTAATTCAAGCATGTTATATGTGCATGAAAAATGATTTTTCTTTTTTTTGCATAGAATAATTGCTAGAGGGGTGTTAGATTATTTGATTCTATTGGATGAATTTTTTTATATTCTATGAATATCTTATTTGGACTTTATTGTGCTCGAATAGTATTTTTGAGGTAAAATAATTAATTTAGGTGCCTTAAAGGTATAAGAAAATTACCCAATAGACATAGAAAAATAATTAGGATGTGTAGGAATATTTAATAAACTTAGATAAATTTTTCTATCTATAGGGAATATGTTCTATAGGAAAAATGTATTTTTGCACCAAATAATTAATTTAAAGGCCAAAATGAATGTATAAAAATTATTTGAATGATGATTAAATTCTTTTAGGAAGTTTTTGAATTTATTATAAAAATAATTTGAATTTTGGAAAGGTATGGAATGAAATTTTAGAATTAGGGACCTATTTGCATGAAATTAGGGACCTAATTGCACGAAATTAAAAGTTTGAACTTTCAAATTAAATTAGACATGAACTTTAGAAGTCAAATTTTTTTTTTTTTTTATAAAATGTTAAAAGGAAGGGCCTAAAGCAATAAATCAAATAGTTGAGGGACTAATAGAGTAATTAGAGAAAAGATTAGTAACTTTAGGAGTCAAAATTAAGAAATGTTTAAGAGAGATTTGTCCCTCATTTTGTTGACTTTGGGTGTATGATTGGGGTCGATTAATGAAGTTTTGACTAAGTTTAAAAGAGTGGTTAAAAATTAAGCTAAATGGATGGCTAAAAATTAAAGAAAGATTAAAGGTTAGGATTTTACCAATGGAAGGGCCAAGATTTAAAAAGAGATTAAGGGCTAGGATTGAACCAAATTAAGAGTGGAGATTAAGTGAAAATTCAACCCAATTATTCCTATAAATATGGGTGCAAGAAAATGTAAAAATGGCTTGAAAAAAATAAAAAAAATATAAAGGAAACTCTTAAAGAATTTCCATAGGAATTTCCACTCAAATTTCTCAAAAATCATGTCTAAACACTTCAAACTACCTAATTAAACAAGTAATTCAAGCTAGAAGATAAAAAATCATCGAAGGGAAAAATTGAAATTTGGGCCGAAATTAGTGAAAAAGAGGGAGGAAGGAAATTTCATCTTTTAAGAATAAATTGGAGCTTATTTGAGTAAGTTAATCTCACCTCATCACAAGGAGTGTTAATCGATACCAATTGATGATTTGGATGTTTTAATTTGTATTTAGTAGCTTTAATTTTAAAAATTAGAGTTAGGGTTCTTGATAAGGAAAAATTGGAGAAAATGATTCTAAATTGATCGAGCATGCCGAGCGTTTGGTAAATACTATATTATCCATTGTATTATAAATTAATTTTTATATTAATTTTATCTCATATATTTTTTTAAGCATAATAAATTGGGTGGTAATCCAAATCCTTGACCACTCACAAACGAAAGAATAGGACATTTATCGATAGGCGGTTACAAACAATAATGGTAAGGTTTTATATTTTCTTAATATATATCTATAATCTAAGAAATATATTTATGATTTAATTTTTTATTATTTTAATTACTTAGAAGTGCGTGCAACCAATAAAACAAATAGTTGTTAAGGAGTGATAGGAGGGTGATGCATCATCTCAAGATATTGACATATCTAAGATAGAGGGGAGAAGAAGCAAAGAATGTAAGACATTAAAACTTATGTGTCCTAATGTTACTCATATTATGACGTCGCCTTCTCCTCTACCACTTCGCGATATCTTGATGGTAATATTCAAAAGGTTTATGTATAGTATGAAGATTGAATCAAGGGGATGAAGGCTACTATCCAACAATAGGTCGGTTAAGTTAGCAATATACAAACTTAATTACGTAGAGTTATGGGGTTGTTAGAGAACCTCCAAGTAGCCTCCTGTCCCTTCTATTGATCTTTCAATAACCTACCGATCAATCGTTCCTCTCATGAGCCGACAAGCGAAAGATGACGCAAAAGATGATGATAATGAGGATTAAATTTTTTTTTAATTTTTTTTCGTATTTTGTACATCTTAAAGAATTTATATAATTTTAATTTTATTAAATAATATATTATGTTTTAATAAGGTGTTATTTATATTTTATTATTATTATAATTACTAATAAAAAATTATTGATATTTTTATAAAAAAATTAGCGATGAAATAGAGATGGTAATTAGCAATGGATAAATATCCAGTTGCTAAATAGCGATTGATTTAGCAATAGAATTGGAAGGATATTAGCGATTATAATTTAATGTTAGCCCATTATGTCGCTATTTAGCGATGGATGTAAGTGGAAATAAAGATGATTGGCAACGGATATGAGACATCATGGATGATTAATTTAAATCAATTTAACGAGGGAAATTCAACTATTTAGTGATGAAATATCCATTGTCGATTAGCGATGGAATAGAAATTCGATCGCTAAAAAAATAACGACCACCATATTAGCAATGAAATACGTATTGTCTCTAATCCATTTCTAATTAAATATAGTGATGGATTTTTTTCCAAATAGCGACGGAAAAATCCATCGCTAGCTAGCAAAATTCTAGTAGTGTGTGTTTGACCATATAAAATAGAAAATTTTAACAATCCATGTAATGATGGTAGTAAAATAGTTTAAAATAATATAGATTTTTATTTCAAAACTTTTAGATAAATCTACTTTATATGAATGAAAAATAAAAGGTCTTAACCAACAAGTTGTTGGTCCAATGATAAGTGAGTTAGTTTGCATACAAATTTTTTTGTCAATATGTAGAGTTTGAAATTTGCCAATATCGAGGGTTTGAATTTTGGAATTGCACTTGTTGGAAAGAGTTAAACCTTGTCATCATTGTGGGATGGAAATACCTAGGTCAAACAATTATTTAAAAAGACCATACAATTTTTTTAAAAAATAAATTCAAAAGAAAAACATATGAAGTTGAGCAATATAATATTTTTAATTAAATGTTACTTGATACAATTAAACATTTTATTAGAAACATGTATAACAACTAACAATCAAAATAATGATGTGATAGCTTTTTAAATTTTGTATGGTCATAGTTTATACCATCTATTTTTTTTTTTTTAATCTATAGTTTGTTTGTCTTGATATGATCAAAATTATAAGATATTAATGGTTGAAAATTAAAAAAAAAAAATACTTTGTCTAGATAAGGGAATGGACCTCAAAAGTTTTGTTGCAGCTTGATGCAACACAAAACAATAGAGATTTTATATTATGCAAAATGATAATATTTTAATGATCAAAACAAACTAAGATCACATAAAAAAAAAACAACTAAAAGCAACAAAGACATAGCAACAATAAAACCAAAAAGAGAGAGAGAGAGAGAGAGACTTAGCTAGAGTGAAATTACATGTAGTTTTTAATATATTTATTCATTATAAAGTTAGATAGTTAAAATTGAATTTCATCCAAAAGATTTAAATTTTATGATTGGTGGCTTCTTCTCAAGTTTATATATTACTCATCTTGTGTTTAATTATTCAATGTGAGATATATTCTCTAATAGATATTCTTAGGGTCTGCCAAGTGGCTTGGGATTCAGAATTCTTGCTAGGCTATTGAATTTTTTTGGAGACACTAATACCATATATGGTTAGATAATTAAAATTGGATTTCAAAAAAAAAAAAAAAAAAAACTTAAACAGAACTTAAACTATATGTTGGTGGCGGCTACTTCTCAACTTTCATTAATTTATAGGCATGGTCTTTAGTTAGGCTTATTACTTTACAAATTCCAGGTTTAATTTCTTCTTTTATTACTTGTATTCCAAAATTTAGTCTAGTCTAGGCATGCATTGTTGTATATTTAATTGGACTCCGTGAAGTTGAGGATATTGACAACTTGATTTTATATACAATAATTTTAAACTTGTAATAGATGCATGCACCATATGTTCGTCTCCTTTCTTTATCTGTTGCTTCATTAGAATGGTAACAAGAACATTCGAACCACAATATTTTATGTTCCCCTGAAAAATATCTATCTATGATATCAATATCAATTGCGAAATACTGTTCTTCCAGTCAGTCTGTATGTAATTGACCGAAGAACCTTCGACTTGTGAAAATGGAATTCTCTTCTCAAATACTCCGTTAACCCTTGTCCTTGTCATTATTACTGCCTTGAATGTATTCATTATCTTAATTTTTTGTTTTGCGGATCAAAACTTGTGCCTTCTCATCCAATTTTTGTGTGGTCTTTTTCCAACGAACATGGCTGGCTGTATTCATTTTCATTGTTTGAAATAAGCATAACCCATCTCTATAAATGCCAACATGATTATGTATGCTGCAAGAATCTATCCTTTAGATCTCGAGTTTAGTTAAAGCTTTTGTGAAATATTATGGGAGCAGTGAAACTGATTGGATCTTATACAAGCCTGTTCTGCACAAGGGTTGAATGGGCTTTGAAGCTTAAAGAAGTGCAGTATGAATACTCAGAAGATGATATATTCAATAAAAGTCCCCTCCTTCTCAAGCACAACCCTGCTCACAAGAAGGTCCCTGTTCTTGTCCATGATGACAAACCAATTGCTGAGTCACTTGTCATCCTTCAATACATCGATGAGACGTGGAAAGATAATCTCTTGCTGCCTCAAGATCCTCATGAAAGAGCCACAGCTCTTTTTTGGGCTAAATTTGCTGACGAGAAGGTAAATTTATTATATAATGGCATGGACTTAAACTATCTCTTTTATGGTTTTTTGGATTGCATATGACATGAATTTAGACTTTATTATTATTATTATTATTATTATTTAGATGAAGAACTCATACTCATATCATTCGGATGTAAGTCAATAAAATTTAAATATGCACATATATTTTTTTGGATGTGATTACGAATTGAATTAAAGTCTTTGAAATCGATAGGTGGCACACAAGAAGGGAGAGAGATTCTTTTCACATAATTAAAACAGAGCTTGAACCATGTTCATGTTATGGATTTATTCTGTTGAAAATACAACATTTTTGCCTAACCGGCAATTTTTAATGATTTGCTAGCTAATTTTTATTTTAAAAACTTTAGTAATTTTTTTTCTTTTTTAATTTATTTTGATTCTTTATTTTAAATATTAGAAAATATGAAAAAAAATATAAAAGGATTGATGAGAAAATAAAATATTTTATGAAATAAAAATAATATTAAATTAAATATGTGTAACGCTAATTAAAGAATTAAATAATAATTTTTTAAAGTAAGAGCAACTAATTAATTTCTTGAAACTAAAAAGGCTAATTTAATTTACTCTTTAAAAATCCCACCTCTCTCATTATCATGGAGAAATTTTATAATACTTGAAGAATAATTAATATAAGTTACGCTATAAACAAACATAGATATAAAGAAAAAAAGAAATAAGAGATAAAAAATTAAAAAATATTAAGCTAAAATGAAAATCTATTAAAATAAGTATTGATGTGATTATATATATATATATCTGCACCATGAAGTAACTATTATCACTCTTCGAACTCTCTACCTCCATCAGAACCTCATCCTCCTCCCGCACCACCCCACTCCATCAAACCACCACCACCACCTGTCTCCTAAGAATTTGTGTTATTTTTCTTAAGTAGAAAAATAAAGATAAGCAAAGTGAAGAGACAGAGAGGAGATCTTTTAACTTTCTCTATAATAAGTAAACTGAATAGAATTTTTGTTATTTTTTCAACAACCTTGATCAATTGCGTGTTTCGATAAGGGATTTCATGATTAAATTCTATTTCCACAAGATCTTTTAACTTCATCTTTACCCTTTTCTCCTCTCTTCTCCAGCGAAGCTTGAGCTGGGGCTGTTTTGGCGTGGGTTTTGTATCTATGGTAAGCTGGGAGGCTAGCAGTGGTGGTTGGGTGGTTTGATTCGATGGGTTTTGGCAGTGGTGTTTGAGCGAGAAGAAAAACTAACTAGGGAGGGAGTGGCTGGTTATGTATCGGTCGGGCCTTGGTGGAGATGGCAGTGGTGGCTATGATAATTTGGGGAAGGAGAAGAAGGGCGTCGTGAAAAAAATCAAAAGCCAAAAACCTCATTTGTGCTCTGTGCACAGGCTGAAAGCATCCCAGTTAAGCTTGTCTCATTTGGCCTCATTCCCTCCCTCTACAACTCTCTGAAAAGCTCAAAGCCTTTTCAAAACACCCATTATGAGCAAACTCAACAATCATGGCACTTCACGAGACATCATCCTTCACTAGCATCTCCAACAACGTCATTCTACGAGGTCAAGTTCCTAACAGGGATCAAAGCAGTAACCTTAGCATTCGACGCAAAGACATTTGGTTCACGCATTTCATCAAACACCTTCTTCGCAAAAGCAACACTTAGTGACAGTTAAAAATATCACGTGACAATTGATTTTAGGCATCAAAAACATAAAAAAATTCAAAAATTAAGTAGCAAATAGTTAAAATTTTAACCATTAGTTGGGCACCAAAACTAAAAAAGAAAAAAGAGCACCAAAAAATGATTGCTTTTAGTTCCTTGTTACGCTTCCTTATTGACTTCCCTTCTGTACTTAGGGACACTATACACAAAGGATTGGAAGTAACATACAATTGTATGAAATCATACCAGCTGAAAACTTGATTCCTGAATATTTTTTAGCTTGCCAGTCTTGTGTATTTATCTTCGAAATCTTGCCTGCTGACAAGGTTTGATGTCTCTCTGTTTTTTTTTTTTTTCCCTTCTCTATTATCGCAAGGGCAGTGTATGATAGAAGCATTTGGGGCTGCCTGGAAAGAGGGAGAAGAAAAGGAGAAGGCCATAAAGTCTGCACTGGAATCGTTTGCATTTCTTGAGAAGCTGATTCAGGGGAAGAAATTTTTCAGTGGAGATGATAAGATAGGCTATTTGTATCTAGCAATGGGTTAGATTCCTCAACGTCTAGGTGTTATGGAAGAAGTTGGAGGTATGAAACTGGTTGATGCTGAGAAGTTCCCATCTCTTCTTGAATGGGCTCAGAACTTGATTGAAATCCCACTCATCAAAGAACGTCTCCCACCAAGAGATGCTGTCGCCAACTACTTGAATATAGTTGCGAGCCACAAGCGTTCCCAGAAGCAGTAACCGGCGCCGGCATGCAATTTGGAGGAACGAGAAGAACTAAAGCTTCTATATATATCTAGTACTAGCTAGTTCTTGTTTTTTCTTGTCATTGTTCTCTTTAGATTTGGTAGCAACGTACATAATTTGCGTGCGTCTGCATGTCAAGTGGTTGAATAAAATGGTTAAATCATGATTTAGAAAATCCTAATTAAGATTTACTTCATTTTCAAATGGCCTGAGGCTGATGAGAAGAAAGTACAAAAACACCGTAATGTTAAATAGTATTTGAATTAAACTGTGCATAGAGGTCCAGAAATGAAAACGTAATTAGAGGAAATTTAGTAAAGGTAATTAATGACGATCGCCTTTACCTCAACTCACTAGAAATTTGCAGCCTTTTCCAACAATGCAACCTAATATACTTATTTCAGTTTTAATAGCTTGGAAATGGTACTGGGGCTATAATTTTATCCAAAATTTCTTAAAATCTTTTTTTTTTTTTAATTTTTATCATTATTGATTTTCCATTTTTCTATCCTTGGAGGCTGAGCTTGATTTGAGTGGCACAGCAGATCGTTCATAGACTTTAGCTTTTTAGTTTAGGATTTAATCTAGTTTTTTTGCCCACGTTACGCTACGAGTTGAATAAAATATATAAAATCGTTTAGAAAAATATATGAAATCAAAGGTAAAAAAATTAGTTATAATTTTTAATTAAAAATGTTATATTTAACTATTTCTTATTTGTGTTTTTCATAAATTTTCCTTTAGAAAAATGATTTATCCTTGTTAATCCATGGATTATTAACTAAAAAGAAAATTAAATAATTTTTTTAAAAGCTAGTATTTCATAAGATTGTGTTAAAAAAACATAAATAACAACTATTAAAAGCTTACATAGAACTCGAACAAATATTTTTTTATTTAATGTTGATGAGAATATCGATTTTTGAAAAAATGATGAATTTAATTTTTATATATTTATTTCCAAAAGAATGAGTAATATTAAAATAAAAAACTATATTTAACTTGAATCATTGAGTGGTTAAGCTAAAATATTATTTTAATTATTTAACTAAAAAATAAATAAATAAATAGTAATTGCTTAGTGTAGAAAAAATATTATTATAATATGATCATAATATTAATAACATATGACTATATTTTAAAAAAAATAACAAATTAAAGTAGTAAATTTTAAATAAACAAATATTAAAAGAAAAAACTAAAATAAAATGGGATCAAATCACAATATAATTAAAGTTTGAAATTAAAAAAAAAGTATAGAAAAATTGAGGACCAAAGTGCTAAAAAATGACATGAATAGTGAAAGAAATAATAATTTTTTACTGTGTAAATAGTAATTTGTGAGTGTGTGAATAGTATTTTAAATAGTAAAAATGAATAGTAAAATCATATTTTATTTTAGTTTTTACAGTAATAGTAATTGTCATGATTTTACCGATAGGCTGGAGGTTAAACAAGGTTTTCAAATTAAGTCAGCTTTAGTTGAAATTCCTGGGCATGGTCTTTGGTTACGACTTACAATTTATTTAGACTTGATCATATCCTTATTACTTTTCAAACTCCAGGTTTAATTTGTTCTCTTTATACTTTTGTATACCAAAATTGATCTAGTCTAGGCATGCATTTTGTATATTTAATTCGGCTCCGTGAAGTTGAGGATATTGACAACTTGATTTTCCATGCACAAAATTTTGCTTTTACAAGTCAAAACTTGTAAAAGCAATTGATATATATATATATATATATATATGATTCTTATTTTGTACATAAGTAGGAAGAAAACCCATCTCTATAAATAATTATACTAGCTACATATGCTGCAAAATCTATCCTCAGATACTGAGTTCAATTCAAGCTTTTACATAAAATTATGGGAGAAGTGAAAGTGATTGGATCTTCTAAAAGCCTGTTCTGCACAAGGGTTGAATGGGCTTTGAAGCTTAAAGGAGTGGCTTATGAGTACTTAGAAGAAGATTTATTGAACAAGAGTCCCCTACTGCTTAAATACAACCCTGTTCACAAGAAGGTCCCTGTGCTTGTCCATGATGACAAACCAATTGCTGAGTCACTTGCCATCCTTGAATACATAGATGAGACCTGGAAAAATAATCCCCTGCTGCCTCAAGATCCCTATGAGAGAGCCATGGCTCGTTTCTGGGCTAAATTTGCCGATGAGAAGGTACATATTTGTTATATAACAGCTTGAACATATATCTTTTATTCTCTAGTTCTTTGTTGCCTATATATTTATTGATTAGATATGACATGAATACAGATTTTTTATTTCTCTATAGTTACTTGATCGGCTTCCATTTTGTGTAAATGTTTACCTATGGATACCTCAGCTAAGACAGAATGGGATGGAATGGAAGTAAAATGGTAATCGTAAATATGTCTTGAATGAAAACTTGATTCCAGTGTAATTTTAGTTTGACATGCTTGTATCTTTGTTTTTGAGGTGCATTTGAAACGTTTAAAAATTGTGGACAAAGATCAAATTTTGCCTCCTAACAGAGGACTGATCTCTCTGTTTCTCTATTATCGCAACGACAGTGTCTGATGCGTGCATTTGAGGCTTTCTGGAAAGAGGGGCGCGAAAAGGAGAAGGCCATAGAGTCTGCACTGGAATCGTTTGCATTTCTTGAGAAGCAGATTCAAGGGAGGAGATTTTTCAGTGGTGACGATAAGATAGGGTATTTGGATCTAGCAATGGGTTGGATCCCTCACTGGCTGAATGTTATGGAAGAAGTTGGAGGTATGAAACTTATTGATGCTGAGAAATTCCCTATTCTTCATGAATGGACTCAAAACTTCTTTGAAATTCCACTCATCAAAGAGTGCCTTCCACCTAGAGATGCGCTTGTCAACTACTTCCACTTCAGCATGAGCTATATGCGTTCCATGGGGGCCAACAAACAGTAAAAATACAAATTTCCCAGTGTTCCAATTACAACTTTATTTATTTGGACATGAAATCCAGTCTCCACTTTCTTGGAAAACAAGCTTTGTTTTCTAAGCTTCTATATATTGAGGTCTTGTTTTACTTTTCATTTCTATTTCATTTGGCTGTACAATAAGTGTTTTTCATCTGTCAAATGACTGAATAAAATGGTTAGATCATGATTTAGAGAAAATCTTACTGTGAAGCTAACCGAAGCCATGATAATACCTGAATTTGCAGTGGAAAAAAGCTTAGATGCCCCCTGGATCACAATTCTACAATCTTTTGATAGAGGATGCCATAACTGGGTTGCCCATGGTTGTAGAAAACCAAGGTATAACTATATCATCACTAAGATCATTGAATTACATTCCTATTACTTGGAATTACTTTCAGCAAATGCTATTACATTGATAAATAAGATGCTACAACTGACCTTGGCAGCTACGGAGTCTCTTTAACTCTATTGATGCTCTGAAAGTTGTTGGACCCTATTTCCTTCCATCACATTCTTTCATTCCTAATTTACTGTCGATTTTCACAAAATAAATAAATAAAAACCATATCACAACTGTGATCATAGACCATCCATATGATGGGACCGTGAATTTTTCATAACATAATTTCTGGTGAAACACAAATGTGTGAGATATGTTTAACTTCAAAAGTCATTAGTTTACTGTTTACAAGCATACCTAGGCACTTGCAAGAATCAGTTAATGCAAGAAGGGCACAATGTCTGGATAAGCCACAAGAGTTTAGAATGAATCAAGTAGCAACACGGCGACATTGGCACCAAAAAGCCATTCCCCCACTTTTGCCTCGAGCAACAGCTATTTCCTCATCAATATAAAACCAGATAAAGAAAGGATCCTTTGTGCTTGGTTCTCTGTCTTCCTTTTGGCCAAGACTGATCTCAAAAGGGTTCCAAGGTCCAATTTTTATGCGCATGCGCTCAAAAATGAAGGCCAGTATTCTGTTCTTCCATGATAATCTGCCTTCAAACGTCAAGAATCCAATTCGTCCAAGATATACTCCATTTTCAATTCTCTTGCCCTGACAAACCAAGCAAGGATTATTTAATACATAAAAATGACATTGTAAAGAACTTGTCTTGTCATCAATTGATTGTTAAAAGCAATCCAAAATTTTCACTACAAGAGGAGCCTAAGCAAACTCTGCCTCCAAATAGACTTTAGCATAGATGACAATACATAGAAATAATATCATAAATGCTATTGAGCTCAGCATAGGGGCTCAGAAAGGGGGACATAAGAAGAAATTCGGAGAAAATGAAAAAGCAGATCTCTGCTTACAAAAAATGGTTCGAGCATCTTCACATATTGCAATCCAATTTACTTATTTCAGTTTTAAGAACTTGCAAGTGGGAGTAGAATCTACACGAATCAATAAAATCTGTGAAATCTAATTCACACAATACAATTAAGAATACACAGTTGACAAGTTTTACAGTATCTTCTGTGCTGCAAACAAAGAGAAACTAAGGAAACTAGTCCTGGAATTAAGAATTTGTGTGGAAGTAACTTAGAAGGTGAAATTCTTGTCATACTTTTAAGCAAAAATCACCGTTCTAACTCTGAAAGCAACGTCAGTATCCTGTTTCTAAATGCAGCAGACACTTCATTCATTGGATTCCTATTCATCTTGTCACACAAATTAAAACAAAATTGCTTCTGGCAACTTCACTGTTTTGTTTCTAAAGTTGCAAGCACTTCATGGTAAAGTTACACTGGGCTATCAGGAAGTTGAAAAAAGAACCATTTTTTGTTTCCTTCAACAAAAGAACATTCATTATAAGGGATCTATTTTGCGTGGTCATTACAATTAATTAGTACTTCAAAGTTGAAACCGAAGCATCCAAAACGCATATAAAACTCTCTTCTTCCCCCATTTGCACGATAATTATAACCACAGAAATAATAAATAAAATGTACAATCAGGTAAGGATAGAGCTTACAGCAGCATCAAACCTCTGAATGGCAGTGAGGGGGAAGTACCGTCCACGATCCAATTTTTTCTGCAAGTCAGAACAAAAGAAATCAGTTGTTAACCATAAAAAAAAGAAGTCAATCCAAAACAAAAGATACAAGTGAATTAACCTCAGCCGTGAAAATAAGCATCCAAGTTCTGCCAGGGGATTTCAACCCACCAAGTGTATTAAGAAACTCTGAGGGGTCAAGTTTGGCCTTCTCAATCACAGAAAGAGCTGACAAAACCTCCTCTGCTGTAACCTTTCTTGTCTTTGCAGCATTCTTGAGCACTTTCACACTCTCCTCAACTTCCTAAATCACAAATAATAATAATAATAATAATAATAATAATAATAATAATAATAGGAATAACAATAAGATTATAGGAATAATAATAATAATAACAATAATAATAAGATTATAAGCCAAGTAGTGCTTACTTCACTGAATTATCAGAAAATGAATTAATAAGCTCAAACATGTTCTAGTAATCTCAAGTACAAACTCGCTAACTATTCAAGTTCCCCACTTTCATGTTCTTTCTTTTCTCATTTTGTCAGAACCCAAGCAGAGCCTTATCCATCTAAGAGACAAAATTGAAACATTCATGACTATCTACAAACAGGACCAAAAGACATACTTTGCTGCGTTGGGACTGCACTTCTTCTTCTTCTTCTTGGACAGGAAGTGGGGCAGGAGCACTTTCATCTAGGGTAGCTCTGGTTCTTACATTTTGGAGTTTAAGGAGATGATGGTTTGTGTTTCTGACGCAAGAAATATCCTTCTTTATACTAGCATGAAGAGGAATGGGACTGGTTTTGGCTTTGAGGGGGAGAAATGAAGGGTTGAAAGATGATAACTGAGATGAATTTAGAGCCACCCAGTTGATGGAAGATAAATAGGAGGCTGATGCAGCTGCTGCTGCTTGTGAGCCCATTGCTTCTGCTTCTTTTGATGGGTTTTCATCTTGGAGACACCCATTTTCTGATTTTCTCCTCCTTTTGAAAAATTTCTGTTAATTAGGAAAATACTCCATAATTTCTGACTTTCTAACAGTGAATATTATCCACATAAAATGGAAGATTATCAACCATATAATTTGGAACAGGGATGATAGCAGATTTCAGTACTAACATTTTTCATGTGTGCCAATTTGTTTTAGATCCTTTAACTAAAGACGTAAGAATTGGCATTACCACCACCCCGAAAGTTTGGGGGTGTATATATATATATATAATCAAATTTATTAAAATTAATTTTATAATATATTTTAATAAGTTAACTTTAAATTTATTCACTATATTTTTTTTATATAATCAAAATTTATTAAAATTAGTTTGTATTAATTTTTATTTTAATATCTTAACTTCAAATTTATTTCATATATTTTTTAACATTTTTTATTTTATATTATAAATTTTGAACCTAGTGAGTACAGCTATGAAATATAAAAAAATATATAATCAAAATTTATTAAAATAAATTTAATAATTATTTTTATTTTAATGTATCAATTTTAAATTTATTCTATATATTCTTTATAAGTAAAATACTTTTTAATGTTTGTCATTTTATATTGTAAATTTTGAACCATCGAGTATAATTATGAGGTATAAAAACTATATAATCAAAATTTATTAAAATTAATTTTGTAATAATTTTTATTTTAATATGTTAGTTTTAAATTTATTCTATATATTTTTTACAAATGAAGTATTTTTTAATATTTTTTGTTTTATATATTATATTTTTTATTTGTTTATTTTTATAAAAGTTTACATATTAATTATTATTTTATTTTTTCGATATAATCTTATGAAAAATATTAGATTAAATTTTTTATTTAAATTATTATAAGTTTTTAGTTAAAAATCTGTGAATAAAAAAAGAATAAAGTTTTAATTAAAAAATTATAGAAACATAAAAATTAGTTAAATATAAATTTTGATTAAAAATTATAAAATTAACTGAAATTTTTATTATTTTTTAGTAAACTTATATAATAACATGAGCTATCAAATTATTTCAAATTATTTTACTTATTCTATCTTATGTGCAAAGTTTCAGCGCTAACAAAAAAACTATTATAAAAAACATTAAAGCAAGATGATATTTTACTATTCATAACACTGTTCATGCACTCACAAATCACTATTCATATGCTCACAAATTACTATTTCTTTCATTATTTATAACATTTTTGTAATACTTTGATTCTCAATTTTTCTATACTTTTTTTTTTCAATTTCAAACTTTAATTGTATTATGATTTGATCTCATTTTTTTTTAATGTTTTTTATTAATTGTTTTTATCATTTAAAATTTACTACTTTAATTTGTCATTTTTTAAAAAAATTCTTATCCAATTAATTTAAAAAACAAAACACTAAAGCAAAATGATATTTTACTATTCATAACACTGTTAACATACTCATAAATCACTATTCATATACTATTTATGATATTTTTGTAACACTTTGGTCATCAATTTTTCTATACTTTTATTTTCTAATTTCAAACTTTAATTGTATTATGATTTGGTCCCATTTTATTTTAGTATTTTTTGTTAATTATTTTTATTATTTAAAATTTACTAACTTTAATTTGTCATTTTTAAATTCTCATCTAATTAATTTAAAATTATATGATCCTTAATTTTTCTATACATTTTTTTTTCAATTTTAAACTTTAATTGTATTGTGATTTGGTCCAATTTTGTTTTAATGTTTTTTGTCTATTATTTTTATTATTTAAAATTTACTATTTCAATTTGTTATTTTTTAAACTCTCATGTAATTAATTTAAATTTATATTTACTTGTCATTTTTTATTTATTTTAATATTATTCATTCTTTTGTAAATAAATATATAAAAATTAAATTTATATTTTTTTCAAAAATCGATATTCTCATCAACATTAAATAAAAATAAAAAAAATATTTATTCAATTCTATATGAGCTTTTAATAACTCGTTATTTTTATTTTTTGATACAATCTTATGAAATACTAAAGCTTTTTCTTTAAAAAAAATATTTAATTGTCTTTTTAGTTAATAATCCATGGATTAATAAGTATAAATTTTTTTCTCAAGAAAAAATTGTGAAAAACACAAATAAGAAATAATTAAATATAAAATTTTTAATTAAAAAATTATATATTTTTTATTCATTTTTGATTTTATATGTTTTTATATATATACACTATAAAACAGTACTATTAAACTGAAATAATTTTTATAAATAATTTTATATATTTTATCTAATTTGTACCGTAGCATGGACAAAAAAACTCTAGTTTCAAACTACTTTAAAATTAGAAGAGACAACAAACTTGGGAAGGAGAGGAAACCCATGAACTTACGGATAGTGGATGGTGGTTACTTGGGCAGATTGAACTTGTTTCTCCAGTAGAGGGAAGATTCTTCCATGACATGACTATATATTTTAATGAAAATCATGATACGATTTTGTGTTTACTTGTGACACATTCCTGTAATCGTGTCATTAATATACAAACTCTAAGGCTAATTGGTGATGCAAGTATAAAATTACTGGAACTAACGGCGTTATTTATTTATTTTTAATTTTTATTGTATCTCGTAGCGTTCCAGGACCAAAAGGTGTATATTAATTCATTTATATACCGTCGGATACACAAAATACACATATCTACTTAACAAATATATATATATATATATATATATATATATATATATATATATATATATATATATATATATATATATATATATATATTCAAGATCATTTATTTAAACGATTAAAATCTTTTTCGTTTAAATTAATTCTTTTAAATATTTAATTATTTAAAGCTACTCGAAATATGCCTGCAACATCTATCTAATAATAAAAAACAAAAGAAATTATTGGAAAGAATGAATAATTCTTATATATATATATATATATATATATATATATATGAAAACAAGCCTAACAATAATAATAAATACATAACTTTATGATGTTCTTTTTGTTTTCTATTTTTCCTCAATTTTTTAAAATTCAAATCAGAAAAATAAATTAAAAAAGAATATAAAAAGAATATTTTGACCACAGATATATGATATTATAAAAAATAAAAATTTATTTTTTAAAAAGGTATATCTATTTAAATTATTTTACTAAATTTGATCAAATTTATGATTTGACATGGAGGAACTTCATTTATTTATTTATTAGTTTAGGACTAAATTGTATTTACTACAAAGTATGATGACCAAAGACCTTTCCACTAAAAACTTATCTGCAATAAAAATAAACTATAAGAAACAAAGTAATTTTTTTAAGAAATTATAGGGATGACAGTGTACATTAGCTATAATTTTTTGCTGTTAACACAACATACGTCAATTTTTAATAACACTAGTAATATCAATTCAAGAAATATATGCAATGATGATTTGATTAATATTAAGAAAAAAAATAGCGAGAGAACATTTTAAAAACAATATAATATAATAAAAAAAATTATCTAATAGAAATGGAGTTTATCGTCACTAAGCCAATTTTTTCGTCGCTATTCATTTTTAGCGATGGATTTGCCATTAAATTATTCCATAACTAAAATAATCATTGCTGTTTCTTTAGTGGTGGAACATTCTTCACTAATTTGAAGTATTTCCATCGCTAAATTGACATAAACAATCATCTTTTAAGTCTTGAATCTCTCGTAAAACCATCACTATTTCCCATTCTTTCTATTGCTAATTTTTCTCGAAAATTCATTACTATTTTCATCGCTATTCGGTGACCATTTAAATATCCATTGGTAATATCCGTCACGGATGATTTATTTTTTATCGCTAATTTAGTCATTGATATGTTGGTAAATAAATGATTTTTTATATAAATTAATAGCCTTTTAATGTTAATGGTAGTAGTAAACAATTCAAAATAACACATTACTATAACACGAAATATTATTTAATAAAATTTAGGTAATTTAAATTCAAATCAAATAAATATATAAATGCATTCGAGTGTATGAAATCATTAAAAACCTAAAATAAAAAGCTAGTCCTCATCCTCCAAGCATCTTTTGCCGCCGGTTATTAAGAAGAATGGTAGACTCCCGGGTAGTGGGGGTTAGCATGAGGGATGCGAGTCTGCTAAGCTCCTATAACGACACCTGTATCATCTCCATCTAACTTTATAGATTTTGAAATTTATCCTCCCGCTCATGGAACCACCGAGTATAGTCAACCTCTATCTCCTAAATCCTAGCTTCATATTGGACGAGTAACTTGTTGAATGTTACCACCAAGGTACCATGATGCGACGGAGGTCGAGTTGGTGCTAGAATGGGAGTAATACTAGGACATCCGTGTTCTAAGGCTGTACACTCTCTATTTCTTCTTCCTCCAACATCATCGAGATATATCTTGGTCATCTCGACATTTGGAGATGATGAATCACCCTCATATTATCGCTTAACAACTCGCTTCTTGCAATGACTTTAAGCGCTCCTACGTAATTAAAATAATTAAGTATTAAATCATAAATTTATTTTTTTAAGATTGTATTGATAGATGTATATTTACAAAAATAAAAAACCTACCATTATTTTTTAAGACGTTCCCTTGATAAATGACTCATCTTTCTCGCTTGTAATTGTTCGGGAATACCTCGTAAGGATTTGGGTTATAACCTAATTTATTATGCTAAAAAAATAGATAAAATAATATAAGATACAATAAATAAAAATATTAATTTAGAGCACAATGAATAATAAGATTTATTATATATTCAGCATGCTCAATCACATAAATAAATCTCTTTAATGCCTTGATGGACTCGCACTAACACCACCTATCTTCGACATGTTTTTCCAAAAAACTTACTAAGATCGGGCTCGAAACTTAGGTGTGGCCTAATCCCACCATCATGCATCCCACACCTACTCTCTAATATATGTGGATT